TTAGAGTCAAGTTACCTCTGGATAAACTCTGAAAATGCAGGTTTTGTTTTTCACTCTTTTTTTATTACAGACAAATAATGGAGCATCTTTTCTGTTACAAAGTACTCAGAAAGACTGCAACCATGGGTTTCCATTTGAAATCTCTGGGTTTATCTTGTGAATCATGTTTGCAAACCTAACCATGCTAACATTGTGTGGCACCACACAGCATCCTTGAAAGGATCTCGAGACACCCTGGGTCTGTGGTATTCTGACTCAGAATAAGTAGCGCAATAAAAATGAGAGAGAAGGAACTCCTTGTAAAGAGCTAGCTTAAAAGATTCTTTTCTGGCTGATTATTTTAAGAATATATAGTTTATATAGTAATAATTAATTTTCACAGAACCAGCAGCCTTTTTGTTATTTTTAAGAAAATCTTTAACTGTCTTGTGAGCTAACTACATTAAAAACAACCTCTCCTTTCATGAATTGCCATGACAATATCAGCTAAGGTGCTTGGACATGACAAAGACCACTGGAAGATGGGATGGACTGCAACCTCAGCAAGTTCACAGATGACATGAAGCAGGGTGGAGTAGCAGATATGTTGGAAAGTAGGGTTAGGATTCAGAGTGACCTAGACAAATTGGAGGATTAGGCCAAAAGAAATCTCATGAGGTTCAACAAGGACAAATCCAAAGTCCTGTACTTTGCACAGAACAATCCCCCATGTATAGACTGGTGGCTGACTGGTTGGTTGGACAGCAGCTCTGCAGAAAAGGACCTGGGGGTTACAGTGGACAATAAGCTGGATGTCAGTGAACAGTGTGCCCTTGTTGACAAGAAGGCTAACAGCCTACTGGGCTGCATCAGTAGGAGTGTTGCTAAAAGATTGAGGGAAATAATTATTTCACTCAGTTCTGCACTGGTGAGACCACATCTAGAGTACTTTGTCCAGTTTTGGACCCCCACTATAGAAAGGACCTGGACAAGTTGGAGACAGTCTAGTGAAGGACAGTGAAAATGGTTAGGGGGCTGGGGCACATGACTGATGAGGAGGGGCTGAGAGAACTGGGCTTATTTAGTCTGTAGAAGAGAAAACTGAGGGGGGGATTTGATAGCAGCCTTCAACTACCTGTAGGGTTGTGCCAAAGAGAACGGAGCTAGACTGTTGTCAGTGGTGGCAGATGACAGAACAAGGAGCAATGGTCTCAAGTTGCAGCAAAGGAAGTTTAGGTTGGATATTAGGAAAAACTCCCTCACTAGGACAGTAGTGAAGCACTGGAACTGGTTACCCAGAGAAGTGGTAGAATCTCCATCCTTGAAAGTTTTGTTGAGCCAGGCCTTAAAAGCCCTGGCTGGAATGATCTAGTTGAGGATGGTCCTGCTTTGAACTGAGGGTTGGACTAGACAACCTCCTGAGGTCCCTTTCAACACTAATTTTCTATGATTCTAAGATGGAGGTACAAGTTTCTTTTGGGGTAACTCAGATGTACAAGTGCTGTTTTCCCAGGCTTTTAATCATTTTCAGGGCAAAGTTTTATTTGTCAACCTAAAACTTCAAGAAAATGTTGAAACTAAACAGTTCCTTTACTCACCATGGGTTACAGGTACCCGTTTTTTTCTCTGGCTCCTCTCATATGCCTACATAGCGTATGTTAGCATAACCTAAATTCAGAACCAATAGTAGCTAATAGCCCCATTAGTACCATGCTGATGCAGTTATACTATTTCTGGGATCTGAGCTAGTATCTCTGCATAGTACTGCACTGTACCAGGTATATCCAGAGCTAGCATGAGCATTTATGCACAGTGCTATACTGTGGAAACATCATCCCTTTACCCACTCCCAAATTCCCACTTTGGGAAGTAATTTGCTTCGTCCACACCCCTTCACTCCATACTCACTTATTTTCTTTTCAGCTTTGTGTGATGACTGAACTGGAGCAGCTGACCCCAGAACCCCTAACCCTTTAAGGAGAAAGTAACTGTTACAAGATGCCTTAAAGGCTGGCTTTCTTTAATTCAAATATTTCCTGTTAAATTTTTAAGAGTTAGATCATGCAATGAGTTAGCACTCCGGAAAGGTCCACTTTTATGATGTGACAAAGTCTATTTTTACTGCCCATACTACTGAAATGCAACTGTCCTTCTCGAAGAAAAAAAAAATATCAAAGATCCTGGTTTTCTGAGGGGATTTTTGGTTTTCACTTTCTTCTGTGCCACATTTCCTTTGAGCATCTAGTTTATAGATTTTCTTCAGCAAAGATGCTGCTTGGTTTCCATCTGTTCAATAATGTAAATATATCTATCTATCTATATCTCAAATGCACACACTCTGTGGGAAGTCGCATATACCTTTTCCTCTTCTTTAGTACATGTGTAATTTCAGTGTACGACAAGGGTAGATAATATGCTCACACTTCCCTCCATGATGATTCTGTTTAGCGCCTTGTTGTCCCCTGTTTTTTATTTGCAGACTTATTCAGATCTTGCATGAGAAGCCATTCCATCATTCTTGAAGCCTCTGGTAGGAGAGTTGAGCTGTGAGCAGCCATCCTGAAAAATCCCTTAAGTTTCCAGTGAGGGAGGAGATTGGCTTCTCTGAATGTCTCACGTTTAAAGTAGCCATGTACACAACAAACACACACGTGTGTACTTGTATACAGTTGCAACAGCAGAAGAGTGATTCAGATAACTCTGTGGTTCTGACAGATCCAAGGTAGTCAATTGCCCTGAATGTATATTTCTTGGAAGAAACCTGTTCTCCCCAGATTCTTCCTTCCAAATTTTGAGAAGGCAGTACTGTTGCTCTTCCACAATGAAGGAAGGTTTGCTGCACAGTAACTCCACCCTTGAATTCACAAACAACTGAAATATATTGGACAGACTCTAGATTCTATTTTAGAGCAGGATTATAATCAATCTTGGTTAACTGTTAGCACATACAGAATGAAACACCACGGGAAGGCAATGAGAGAGAGTGGGAGATGCACAGCAGAGAAGTGAAGCAGAAGGAAATGCAAGTCAGAGAAATGGGAGGAAAGGTAAATTAAAAGAATTTCCAATCATAGCCCTGTAATGAATTTTCTTTCTTGACTTTGAATTGTTTTCAATGCCTATACCTTTCCCACTCCCCCTAAAAAGCAAAACACACCTTTTACTATACAGATATCAGACAGAGGTGAGCCAATTCGCAAGACAGTTGGAGAGACGTGTATTATTTGCACACAGCACTCATCAGAAACTTAGGAAACTTGCGCACTCGATGAACATTAAAATGTAAAAATAAAAACAGAAGAGAGTAAAGGGGGTTTAAGAAGGAGGACCATGGGAAAGATCACATGCAGGACTTCAAAACAAATAGTGGAAGGAAAATTAGGACTGTGGAAACAGAGGGAAGATATTCACAGAAAAAGTTCAAAGTGTGCAACAAAACATTAAAACAACAAAAAGCCAAAGGAACTGGCTTTGGTCTGTCTGTTCTCTCCCATCATTCTCAGTACCAGATGCCTCAGAAAATGGTGTAATGGGCAGTTAAACAACAACATGTCTATGACAGAAGCTGTTTACTAAACCTAGGACAGTTAGTGGTTGACTTCTGTCCTGAAATGTGTAGGCTGATATCACTTGTAAATGTTTAATGTAGATAGTGTAACTATGGACAACACTCCTATCGGTGATAAAAGCGTTTATTCCTTTTAAAGACTGTACTACACACCTTACTTCAGTTATACCATGGGGTCACACATTCCACAGATAAATTATACATTGTGTAAAGATGTACTTCTATAATGTTAAAATGTCTTGCCTTTTATGTAATTGCTTTCCCCTTGTTCTTGTATTACAATAATGGAATAAATAGGAGTATCCAAATCACATCATACCACTTATACACATATTAAAATAATGTAATTTCTTATTTTTTGTCTCTAAATGAAATGCCCATTTATTTATATATTATTTATGATATATGTGTGTATAAATGTGTGTATATACATGTGAGTATATTATGATTTTTACATAAAAATTATAAAATCATTACTTTTTAGTAACTAGACTTCTGAACAAGTAGCTTTCTTAGAATATGGTTTTAGACAGACAAAGGGATAGTTTGCTCCATTTTCATAAGTCATCGCCTTAGTTTTGCATCAAGTATGCTAGATACACAATCCTAATCACACTTTGCTTAAGTAGATTTAGCAATTACTCTTGGAAGACTTTAGTGAATTATGACCTAAATACCACTCATAGGCAAGTCTGGAATGCGAGATTTTACAAAATCACCATTAAAAGAAATGCTAATACTAAGCAAGTTTCCTTCTTTTATCTCCAGTTGTTTTCAACATCTCTACTTTTTCGCCCTCTTCCCTCAAAAAATATAAACATAAGATTTGCCCAAGGGGATATCGGGGTCACAGCTTGCAAAAAAGCAGCAGAGACTTTGCAGAGCCTGAGAATGACACGAGTCACTGGTCATTGGGCACCATCAAGAAGCTTCTCTTTTGACAGTCTCTTAAAGGATCAACAAAAAAAGATTTCATAAACCAGAGCTCACCATGACACCTTGCTAACCTCACTTCTAGCATCATCTGCATTTTTAACTGCAGAACAATTACTCACACATTAGCCACGTGGATGGGAGAAGAGAGCAACTAATTATGATATCTTAAAAAATAATGCATTTTTACCACATACTCAAAGACACACTGATGAGGTGAAAATTACTTGTAGGGCCAATTATGCTCTCTACTGCAATGTATAAATCTGGAGTTACAGTTTAAAGGGCAAATGAATGGAGTTGCCTCAGATTTACACTAGTGTAACAGGGTACTGTTGCATCCTAAATATTTTGCAAGAAAAAAACAATTCTGTCCCACAACACCTAGCCTTTCTGAATAGCACTATAATTTTACTCAGCTTGTATGTATTAAAGATCTGAAAGTAATAAGCAGGTAATGTACAAGTTAGTCCAGTAATATATATGCTGAAATAAACAGGATGCAATTCAATTTACAAACCTTTACAAAAGAAGATTGCTTATCAGCAGCTCCATTAATGTACTTCTGAATGAAGGTTACACATTCTCATGACGAATCCTAAAGAAGAGAAAACAAAAAATTAAAAACAGTGATTTCCTCAACAAGGGAAAAAGATGTCTCTCCATTTGGGGACACAATGCTAAAAAGCAGCCATAGCATTAGTTTAGAAGTTGTTCAACATCTTAAACTATGGATGCAGCAAGATCATTACAATTATTTAAATATAGCAAAGTCCAAGTTCACTATGATTCAGCAAGGAAAAAAGAATATGAAATAACAATAAACCATTTTAAAACTAATGTTACTGAAAAGTTTTGATAAAATTGCAATGGATACATGAAACTGGAGTTGAAAAGAAAGAATAAGAATGCTGCACCAATTTAAATTCCGTTTGAAACATCTATAATACAAACCTTAAAGTGCATTTTCAAACATACAGCAAATCAAAGCAGCAGACATTTATTTCCAGCCATGGCACTTCCAGGCTCTTAGTTAAATGAAACCAGAAAGAGTCTAGTGGAGCTGTGCTATGTGATAAAGAATGTACTGATGGGTCCTGCCCTACATCAATAACAATTGTTTTCTTCTTTTAACTAAAGGAAAGAATTTCAGTGGTAAACAAATGCCTAAGCCTTGCATGAATTCTTCAACACAGTTCTGGCAAACCTGCTTCTTCACACCTCCTGTGTATACTATTCAGAGTCAAAATACAAGTTCTATTCCCCAAGATGCATCAGTTGCTATGTTTTCCATTATGACAACTATGATACACAAGGGTAAATCCAATACACTATAGCTTTCAGCTATAATCCCCCTGGAATTCACACCCGCTGTTGTGAAGATAATTATCTGGGTATCCCTGAGGCCAATTCTTGCAGTTTTCATATAAAAATCACCTCTTGCATAAGACATGAAATTTAAAATCATCCCCTTTGCAGATATCATTGAGTCACTCCATTACCTCTGGGACAGATATAAATTATGCATTCTTTGATTCTCCTTAAATTTTTTAGATGCACTAGGGGACACAGAAGCATCTAAATGGTACTAAAAATATAAAGCATTCAAGAAAGAAACAATAACTTGTACGGTATTAAGTGCTACAGTGCTCCAAAATCTCCCTGCCTGGTCAAGAAAAGCACATAAAGCACTGAAACATAACAGCAGGCTTGCATACTAATGGCTGCTAGTGACAAGGACTCATTGAATGTCACTGCTTCACATACTGCGTACTGTTCATTTTTCTTATCTATGTGACCTCTCCTTTGAAATGACTGATGAAACTCCTGTGAATTAGAATCTCCGCTTCTGGGCATTTGCCACCAAGAAGGCAATCCGTAACATCTATACCACTAAAGCACAAAAATAGCCAGTACAAATGGTAAAGGATACTTATCTATACTGTAAAAGGACTGCTTTATGAAGCTTCAGCCTAGCTAGGAAAGCTGTTACCTCAATGCCCTTTAAAAGCATTGGCTTGTCACAATACATACATTCATATTTCAGACTTGGCTAACATTTTCATAATTGGTGAGAACAAAAAGGAATAGCTGTTCCTGCAAGAAAAAAGAAATTTCTCTGTTCTAATGCCCTGCTGCTATGATGACCTATTTCACACTAGCATCTGTTCTGTTCTGATGAACCACTCCAGATGTAAGCTGGCAAAATAGCACCGCTAGTATGTTATCCAGACGTCCACTGAGTACTGCAGATGCTTCGTTCTACAATTCGCATCTAATGTGTACCTGATTAATCTTTTTCTTTATTTTTCCAAATATTCACCTCAGAGAACTTCCTGGAAAGTTTTGAAAACCTGGGATCTGCTCTGCAACCACAAAGACTTCACTATAAGAAACTGGCATTGCATTAGCAGGTTCATTAATATGTCCAGAATAACAAGCCAAGCCATCTCTGCTTGAGTTGCTGAAGCCAGTTAATTACAAATTCCAAAAGGAATGCAAACTTCAATAAACCATTACGCCTTTATATTATTTGCCTGCAGATTAAATACAATACTCGTTTCAGCTTTAAAATTACAGGCATCTGCAACACTCAGATGCATCAGCATGACCAAAAATGTTATGCCTGCTCTCTGCCTCAAGCCCTTGACCTAATGAGGTTAGTGACAGGGATATGAATGACTCGACCAAAAAACGAAACACAAAAGTAGTTTTATCCTGAAGTACAATATTTCTTCTGTCACTTAACCAATTTTTTTCCTCTCAAAATTACAGGGTAGACTGCAAATCTTCAAGGCTAGCAGCAGCTCCAACAGCCTAAGTGCTATTTAAAAGAATAATAATTTATGAGTTGCCTTGGTAGAATAGCAGAAGTCACATGGGAGATTCCTCAGGGAGGTGAGGATGACAAAGGTTACAGAAATGACTAAGGGCTTGCCGACATGTGGGAATTTACTTTGAAGTGTGATGCTTTGCTGTAACTGCTTCAGACTAACTGGCACGCAGCAGCTGTGTCCAAATCAAGTCAGGTTTTGGTTCACTATGAGTCACTGCTTCCATCCAGGAGGAATTTCCTCCTTAATATGTGGTCAGCATTGCGGCTGGCTATCCCATGCTCCTTTGTGCAGTTGCCAGACTCTGTGCATTCTGGGATTGTTCCCACAGGACATGGGGTCATGTCTAGAGGAGGTTAGCTGGGAGATAGTATGTTCCACATCCAAGGGTCACCATCTAAAAGTCCTATGTTCCTTCTCTCACGGTACCACAATCCACTTCCTTTGGGTCAGCTGAAGCTATTTTCAAACTCCTAACAAACTATTTTACAAGGATATAGGTTGTAGTCATGTTGGTCTAAGATCATAGGCAGACAAGGTTCTTTAGGTAAATCTGATATCTTTTATTAGACCAAATCAAATAGTTGGAAAAATTCTTCTTTGCAAGGTTTCGGGTATAAATACCTTTCATCAAACTGTTTTAGATGCCAAAACAACCCATGCTGTAATGCTAGTCGTTGACCTGACATCACCAAAGGGCTGCAACTTTGTAATTCTACCACTGCGCTACCAAACAGTTTTCACTGCCAGCAGCTACACCAAGAAAAAAGAAAAAAAAAAAGAATGCTGACAAAGATGGGGGCGGAGACAACAAGGACAAGACTGGGCAGACTAGTTCTGGACACTGGAATTTTCAGGCATTCTCGGCTGTTTTCCTTACTGAAAAAGGGTAGATGTGCTAGTACATTAGATACTGTGGATATTAATGATGTCAGTGGTCCTCCTTTTATTCAAAGAGACTTCTACCACCAGGACAGATGAAGACTTTTAATGGATACCTGAATGGTAAAAAGAATGGCTGAAGTCTCTCATAATTATCTGAAGGATGACAGTGAAGATAGGCCCCTCTAGGAGGCTGAAGGGTAGATGGTGGATGCTAACTGGAAAGCTTGAAGCTGTCATACAATACCTGCTTGAAATTAAAACTGTGTAGTGTGTTCTGCACAACTTCTGCAGGATAATGGAAGAGAGGCAAAGGTTTGGAAATTTTTAGGACACTTTAATCACCTGCAAGGCATTCTTACCTAAATGACATTATCTGGGATGTTTTGCAGACCTAAGCTGAGGAAGAAGCACAAGAGTTTAGATATGTGCCTTGCCTAGCACTTGAAAAATAGCTTATTGTAGCATGTGGAGCATGGTAACTCTAGCACAGAGCTGCAGCCTGCTGGGCACCTTGTAGTACATTCTGCTCTGAGGTGTTGGTTTTGCACGCTCTGTGTGCTTCTTTAATATTAAAAAGAATAGTAGATGCTAGTTGACTTTGGGAATATGCCAGTGTTCATTAAATAGGCTCAGTATACATTAATTACCTTTGTGAATTCCTGAAAGTGGGGAATCTCTGCTCTCAGTATATGGGCAAATTCAATGCCACAACCTACTGGCCTGGAGGGCTTCACTGTTTCAGGACTAGTTATACAATTTATAGATCCTTTTTATATCTCTGTGAATTTAAAAAACTCTAAAATATATGGGCATTCACTGTACAGAACACCTTGTTTATGGCTGAAAATAAATTTGTAAAAATATTTTCCTAAAAGTGCAAACAGTAAGGGTTTGAATGTATCTATTTATTTATTCAGATTTATATCCCATCCTACTGATGAGGTATTTCAGTTCACAAGTCATCGTGCTGGCTGCTCAGGAATCTTGAGTGGCACCAAACCCAAGTTTAGGCTGAAGGGATCAAAGGAACTTGGCTCAATAAACTGTTCTCACTTCAAACCTGGAAGGAGTGATGCCAGGGGGTGGCAAACTATTGCTCCTAATAAGAAGAGTTCTCTAGAGTTTGTAGAATCAATCAAATCTGAGTACTCTCAAGTAAAGATACCAAGGAGGAAGGAAGCAGAAAGTAAGCTGCAGTTTTGATGAAGAATGCTTTCTAACAGTAACGTTAGATGTCCACTATCTTGTCAACTACCACTGCATCACCTTGTCCGTTGTCAGTCTCCCGAGTTATTGCACAGCTTCCCTCTGTCACCATAAACTCTTTTTTATTTCAGATCATAACAAACTCCTTCTCCACCTTGTAGCTTTTCCCATCTCTTGGCCTCTTTTTTCGTTTGCTTCTCATTCTTTTGAAATGCCCTCCACTTGTAAGCCTCAACCCCATGTTTCTCAGAGGCTTCCAAAAGGTCATTGTTCTGATATTCTTTTCTTTTTCACTCTCAAGTTTGCCTTATATTGGGAGGTGATTAACTGTGCCATCCCTGAGAGTTTGGATACTTCAAATATGAACCATCCGGCATAAAAAAAAATCTTACGAGAAGTAAACATTCATTGCTCAGCATTCCTCAGCAAAAAACAGAGTATTTTCCATCCCATAATTTTGAGATACCACAGTGTAAGGAGATATTAACTCTTCTTCCACTTTTTTCCCACCTGTTTTCAAACTGCAGCGCAAAGAATCTCCAGAGCTCAGAGGCCACATCTAGATTGCCCAAGAGCAACAACCTCAAAAACCATGTAGCTCTATGCGTACTATCTCCTGGACTGGAAGAATTGTAGCTCAGTGCAGTGTAGGGCTGAGAATGATCTAATGTGC